GGCCACAAGATCCAGAGGCGTCATGACTACTTGACAGCTCTTTACGCTTTTTACACGGGCTGCTGGGTATCTATCCTAGCCCTCATCTGGAGCGTGATGAGGTTGCTGTATGATTTTTTCATTTCCAGGGAGGACCCTAAGCGGTCCAAGGTCCTGCCCTTCGGACACCTCATCACGCAGATTCTTCTTGACCAGCGCTACAGAGTGCCCCCAGATGAGGAGCCCCTTGCACGGTCCAGCTTCTATGGGAGGAGCGACTGGAAGAAGAGCTACAATGCTCTTATTCGGAGTCTTCAGGAGCCAGCTGTAGAGGCAGCAGCTGAACAAGAGGAGGAGGAGGCAGCCCAGGCACAGCCGGCACCTCCAGCAGCAGCGGACGATGCACCAGTCGGTCCAGCTGCCGATCGCATGGACATTGACTTGGAGCGACCTGCGGAGGAGTATACCGATGCTGCAGATGATGCTGATGCTGATGATACCAGTGATCGAGCCGCTGCTCAGGAGCGAGTTCGGGAGTCTTCTTCAGAGGCATCTCTGCCTGAGTCTCCAGTTCCCACTTCCGGATTCGGAGCACGCTTGCAGACACTAGAGGAGGACGTAGCAGCCATGCGAGCTGACATCACTGCCCACCGAGCTGAGTTCACCTCTTTCAGGGCGGATGTCATGGCTTGCTTTGCCGATCTCTCCATCAGACTCCCTGCACCTGCACCCGCACCTACACCTCCAGCTACTGCAGATCTTTATGATCAGGCCTCCTAAGACTCCACTTCCAGTTGCTCTATGCTTTCATTTCTTTTATTCTGGATCTGTATTATACTGTCACTGTTACTATATTATACTTTGCGGCCGGTCTGTCGGCTTTATTATTTTATTGATGTACCTGCACTTTATATTCTCTATATATTGCTTTTTGATTATGGATGTCTCTTAGTATCTCATATTTGTATGTTTGACTCCATCAGGTACACAACAGTGACTTCAGTGAGAGAGTGCTGCCCAATTTTTCAGGACCACTCTTACACCTCTCTCTCTATTCTCTATTTATCCCATTTACACTTGCATGTCTACTGTGCACTAATTATCCTATTTTGTTATCTAATGAGTTTATCCGAGTGCAAACTTTTCAGGACCACAGTTTATCCCAAGTTTGGGGGGGCCATGCCACCCACTTTGGATACTTCTATCCCGATCATTCATGTCTAAAGCACTGGTATAGTCTTTCCTTTGTTCTCTTCACACATTGAGGACAATGTGCAGTTTAAGTTTGGGGGTATTGGTGTATGTTTCAGTGTTGCTTTAAAATTCAAATTTTGAGCATGTCTTGTGTATTTGAGGGATATTTCTATACTTGGTCCATTTCTAGCTATGATTTTGATCTTTTGAGGACTATATTGCTTAAAATTTAAAAATTGCTTGACTTGAGAGTCCAATACTCCTTGTATGCCTTGAGGATGCCATTTAGGAGTAAATTTTTCAAAAGATTGACATCTTGCTTGCATTTGTGGTCCACATCATCTTGATTTTGTGATTGTTCTGAGATTCATTCTAGGATTCTACACTAGCACAGGCGCACGCTAGCATTCAATTATGGGGTACATGCTTTGTTGATTATTGAATTGGTTATATCTCAATTGGGCTAGTAGTGCATTGAAAGCTTTCATTCTTGATAAAGGTGGATAACAATCTCTTTTCATTGAGTAGCCGGGATTCTTGTCTCATTAAGCAGTGAACTTCTCGTGCCGAAAGGTGGAGGGCCCAAACTCTAGGTTAAAAAAAAAAAAAAAAAAAAAAAAAAAGAAGAAGAAGAAGAAGTTGCAAAAAGCAATAAAAGTGAGGACTTCTCCCAAAAGGCGAGAAGTGGGAAATGATTAGATGGTTGTTGTCTTGATTTGTAGCCTAATTGATTTGAGTTTATAAGTCTGTAGGGGTGTCTTAACACCTAATGCCCTAAAGCCATCTGGTTTGGGAGTCATTGACCTAAAGCTCGCTACATGAATCTTCTAGAAAGCTTAAGAGATCAATACATTGCACAATATTTCCATCTTTGATCCTCAATAAATAAATAAATAAAAAGAAAAAAAAAAAAGTGAAAAGAATAAGCGCACCTAGAATAATAAAGCTTTAATAAAAGGTCCACTCTCTTATCTTGATGATCGGTACTAGATTTGTGTGCTAGTTTGAGGGTAAGGATGTGATTACTTCTCTAGTTGGCTAAGATAGCAACACACTTGATGCCGGACCTTTCACATGGATTCTAGACTTGTTTCGATTTTCATGATCATTTTCTTGATATGTAGAGGACCATACTTGCTTGCTTGATATTGAAATTTTGGGAGATTGCTTAGAAACGGTTGAAAAATTGCATACTTGAGGTAGTTTTCTCCCAATGCTTGTTTGCAATATTGGTGCCTCTTTTGAAAGAATGAGCTTAATGTTTGTGGGTACCATTTCTAGAAACCCTCACGAGACTTTACTCGTCCACTAGGGGTAACCTAGGGGTTTAAAAGGCTTGTTGCATATGCTAAATGCAATCGTGTTCCCTACGAAAATGGTGTTATCATTTTACTTGCTTTCTAATTTATACTTGTATAGTTGTTTATTTCATTCCTTTACTTCTTAGTTCATTGCTAGGGACTAGCAATATTTAAGTTTGGGGGTGTGATGAGCACTGAAAAGTGCGCATTTAAACCCGTTAAGCTTAAGCATTCTAGTACCTTTATCTATCTTACTTTGCCGTTTTAGACTTATTACGTGTTATTTATATTTTCAGGCACTAATCCCAAAAATTGAGCTAACTCAGCCAAATAAGAGCTTAATTGAAGCAATCCTGAGATAAACCAAAGGAGGGAGCAAAGTGGAGAAAGAAAGGAGCAAAAAGGAATCAAAGTTGTGCAGTTGAAAAGTTCGATCGATCCAACTTAGAGTTCGATCGATCGAACATCTATGATCGATCACAGTATTTCTCGATAGATCCAACCTTGGCCTTTGTTGAAATTCCAAGTTCGATCGATCTAACATAACCTTCGATCGATCGAACCCTATTTTGTCCTATTCAAATGATTGATCTTATCCACAACTGTACGCCTACCAACCACTTTTGTCTTTTTCCCCATAAATATCTTGAAAATATCCCAGCCTTGTCCTTATCCGGAGGAGTCAGACCACTTCGATCGATCCAAGATGCAGTTCGATCGATCGAACCCATTTTCGATCGATCCAAGTTAAGGTTCGATCGATCGAACTTCCTCCAGCGAGAAAAAGTTAAAGTCCAGCTCATTTATTCTGTCCTTCATCCAATCATTGGAGAATATGCCTTGCACGACCACAACTCATCATGGGGTGTATTTGACCTACCTATATAAGGAATATGATACATTTTTTGAGGGGGAGTCTCTTGTCACACATTGGAAATCATCTTGGAAGCTTTTCTTGGAGAGGGGGAAGGAGGGAAGCTAGAGCACCATTGGAGGAGATCTTCACCAACAAGGAGCAGCCATGGAGTTAGCCCTTGAGGGTTGGATCATCACTACCATGAGTGGCTAGACATCCTCTTGGGGCTAGAGTTAGCCCCAAGCATGCTTTCTATACTCTAATCTTGTGTATTATTGAGGGATTAGTGTTGTATGATACATCTTGATATTCATGTATATATAAATCATGATTATTTCATGGTTTGTATGGTTTAATGCTTCCAATTGACTATTCTATTCTATCTATATGTCTATGTATGCTAGAGTAGGATATTCATGTGCTTATCTCTAGATTTAGTGTTTTTGATGCATGTCTATGTGTATTGATGCTATAGATCTAGAGATTATCTAGATGATATGCTTAATGAATGCTATTTTGGTTCATTTGATGCTTTATGCCTATTCTTGATGGTTTGTGCCTCTCCCCTAGTCTCGATAGCCTTATTTTCATGCTAGTAGTGTAGATTTAGTGTAGTGGTAGTGTAATGTTAGATAGGAGGACAATCTACTCTTGATGTTTGATGTTCCATGCTCGTGAGTCCAAATGGCATATTCCTCTAATATTGTGTTGTATGTGGATTTTGAGTTTAATGAAGGATTAATGACTAGTTATGATATGTTGTATCTTTCACATGTGTTTAGACAATTTATTCCTCTCCCAATAGATATTTTGTACCTCTCACATGATGTTTAGATAATGCATGTTTAACTAAGTCATCCTTATGGATTGCTTGGACTATGAGCTTAATGAAAGGTTCAATGACTTGAATTGTTATTTTGTTATCTTCACATGATATTTAGACAATATATTCCTCTACCAATAGATGTATTGTGGCCTCACACATGTTGATTGAGACAATTTTCCCTTGTTGAGTCACCCTTACCAATTAAATGTCTTTTACACACACAACATTGTTGCAACACATCCATTTCCCTCAATTGATCACTTGTTAGTGGTATAGAAAAGTATTGCTTAGTGGTGATCTCTACACCCCAAGACCTCTCTCTCTCTCTTGTTTACTTCATATTATTTTATTTAGTTGAATTCAATTTAGCTTAATCAACCAACCCAACTCTCTTTTGCAATCATTTGGTACGCTAGAGTCGAAGTTGAAATTCCAACACGTATAATCCCTTGGGACGATCCCTACTCACTCTTGCTACGTTAGTAGTGGTGTTGGTAGTGGTTTTTATAAATTTAAATTTGACATAAAAGGCTTTTCTTGAACCACACATTCACTACATTTAGTTTGGCGTTTACAAGCGACCTCGTCAATATTGATCATTGGAAAGTGTATAAAACCCTTTATCCCTTGAGAAATTATTTGATAGGAAATATTTGAGGCCACCGACTCTGTCTCTTGTTCGGCATGCAAACTTAGGTAAGTAGCACTGCTCCTAGTCTTGATGATGTGTTGTGAACTTTTAATTGGTTAATACTAGATACATACTCTTTTTTATTTTTTATTTTTTATTTTTTTATTTTTTATCCTGGCAAAGAAATGCCATATAGCATCTACACGGGCAAGATCAAAGCACCACTGATAAACTAGAGAAAACACGAGATAAAAAGTCCCCTACAACAAGACTAACACCCAACAAGGTTAACAAAAACCTTAAGCTTTAATGGGTATCAGAGACAATGGGAGTGCTTTCTTAAGTTAGATCTAATTACAAAAGAAACAACAATTATCGGCCCAACTAGAAGAGAATGGGCTATCCTTACAAGAACCCCGTAAAGAAATTGAAAACCTCTATCATGATGTCCATTAGTCAGTAATAAGCCATGGGCCCAACATAGTCTTGCCCATTTTGCATTCTCAACCACATAAGGAAACCGTATTCCAGAAGCGTAAGAAGGCTTCTTTTCGTAATGGCAATGCCACAATCACCAAACCCAAAGGTTGACTTTGACGTCTTCATCTGACACAAATCATTACAACACAGATTTAGAGGACGTCGAGTATTCGCTAGATTTAGAAACATAAAGTACGGCCAGTATTCCGGCAAACATCCTTCAGCGCTATTATCAGCAACAACATCCAACCTATTCTGATAATGGTGAACCCCCAAAATCTTTGCAACACCAGAACTCTTTCTTTGACCAGCGTGACAAAACTTTCTTGCAATACCAAACCACGAACCATAGTCGATGGTGGCCGGAATACACGCATTGCTGACCACATCAAAGAAACGGTTCGTGACCCGAGCGATTCGCTAAAGCCCTAAATGTATTCCCAATTTTAACTGCTAAACCCCTTGCAAACAACACGACGATACAAGACGATGTGAAGGCCACACCAAGAGCCAAAACAGATACACAGAAACACCACAAGAGATCAAAATCCTATGCATCAAGCACGAATCCACCAGAGAAAGATAAACAACACCACCCAACCAGACCTCAGAGGCCATGACTACTAGTGGAACCACCACGCGTACCACAGATTGATCAATGGGAATCTGAGACAACAACACGACTAAAGAAAACCCAAAAAAATACAGATAGAAAGTTAGAACGAAAACAGAAATAAATAAGACCATCACAATACCTGGATCAAATGGGAAAGTTGATATAGAAAAGCCATTCGGTTGGCCACCGATCAACACACGCGAACCAACCCCCTTCAGTAATAGGAAACGATCCTAGCCAACCACCCACAAAGAAGATGGACCGGAGAAGCCAGGGAAACCATCACGATGCCTGATGCCAGCCAAAGAACTTGTGAAGCGAACCACAAACATTATCGGTGAAAAACAAAACCATAGAGGAGATTAAAACCGAATCTTACTGCAATCCCCCCAAGAAGGTAGGGATGATCAGGAAACCACGAAAGCAAGTGAAGGGATAAAAGATGAGAAAGGGGAAGAAGGAAGAAAATGGTAGAAATTAACAGGTGATGATATCACTCTGACAAACAGAGACACTCTTATGAAAATGAGAAACTCCTAGGAGAAGAGAGTGATTGGGTGTAGATACATACAAACTTATACATATATAGCATGATGTAGATGTCCAATCAGTCACCTAATAATCCCTCAACAAGCACATGCAATCTCCAAAACAAAATATCCAATCACATGCAAGCTCCAAAACAAAATCCAATTAGTTGATTATACATATTTGTATTAAATTTATAATGTTTTTTCCCCTCACATTTAGTCTCCTATCTTACATGAATGGGATTATTATATTTCGATTAGGAATTGGCTACCATATTATCTTTCATACTAGCGTGAGCCACAGTTTTTCTTAGACGACAACGACGTGAGATGTGACTATGGGCATGGGTGCTTTATAATGTTTGAGATTTGTGAAACATTGCTGAAAATTATAATGCCCCAACATAGTTTGTCAAACAAAAGTTGCTAAATTTACTTTGTAGTGGTACTGTAATATAAATCGCGGCTTGTTATGTTTCCACCATGCATGAATACATGAGTAGTGTAATATAATGCCATTCTTGTCAATGTACATGTCAAAATTGACTATAGAATTGTTACAATCCAATTCTATAGTCAATTTTGTATTCTTTGATAGTAGCGAAAGGATTTAATACATTTTACTGCCAAATATTAAGGTTGAGAGAACATTAATTTGGAACGCGCTAAATTGCAATTTGTAGAATGTGTGAACACAACAAGCCAATCTTTATCCACAAATAATTCGCAACCCCTAAATATGGTTTAATTTTTCGATTTCTGAAGGTGACATTAACTTATTGGAAATTTAAATGTGTCTAGCTTTGGAAAACGTTCTTATAATTGTACTATAGAATATACGGTAGAGAGTTAAAAAAAAACATTTATGTTCCATCTAGGCAGAAGGGAGGAAGAGGGGTGGAGGGAAGATAAGAATGAAGAAATAAATTTTTTTTCATTTGGTAGAGAGAAGGCAATCTGAGAAGAGAAAAGAGGTTTGATGAGTCATCCTCATTCTTTCACAAATTTTCATTTTAAATTTTCACAAGTTTTTAAATTACAAATCTTAATTTATAATTAACCATATATCTTCATTTCTCTCATAACAAATAAAATAAGGTATTATCTTATTTTCTTCTATTCAATCCAACCAAACAAAAAGAGGGGAAATGCAAAAGCCTTGCATTTAAGAAGAGATTGTGTCATTCCCAACCAAACAAAAAGAGGGAATGACACAATCTCTTCTTAAAGGCAAGAGGGAGAACGCAAAGGCCTTGCCTTTAAGAAGAGATTGTGTCATTCCCTCTTTTTGTTTGGTTGGATAAAAGAGAAGAGATAATACTTTATTTTGTTTGTTGGGTGAGAAGAGAAGAGAGAGTGTTACTTACAAGAAAAATTTTGTAATTTTAAAACTTTTACAAAAGCAATGCCTTGTTTCCCTCACGTCTTCTGTCCATACTTGAAGGGATAAAAATTTGTGAAGGAAGAAAGATGACTCATCCATCATCTTTTATCTTCTCTCCTTGCCTCCACTCCATCAAACGAAAGAAATAAATTTGTTTCTTCCTTCTTATCTTCCATCACCCTAAACTCTAAACGCAAACAGAGCATTAGGGTTTAGATAATAGTGTAACTACGTTGGGAAGAGATCGTGTCCTTTGCCCCCAAAGGCAAAGTACATTCAGGTGATGAACGTTATACTTAGGCTGAAGTCTTATTGCAAATTGTCTCCAACAGTTTGAATTGGTCATGTTTTGTACTATACAACATGCACTTTCTTGTACTTTGCATACAACGACCAATCAAAACTTTTAGGTCAAACAATTCACTCTAACTCCTTGGCCTTAAAAATCAATTTCTTTTAAGTGGTAAATGATCAACTTTTGATATATAAATATTTACTACTTTTAAAACTATCAAGGTAAGTTGAATCTCTATAAGGCTCAATTATTCATACATTTTTTTTAGTTGAATCAATTAATTATTACATTGAATCAAGCAAACAACACTAGTTTCACCAATTAATCCATATATGACACACTTGTTACATAGCCACAAGACATGCAAGTACCGTATTACAGCTATAACAAGCCGGCCTTAAAATACATATGTACCTAATACTAATATCAAACTTATTCAAATGAAGCATAAATTGAGTTCCAGAGGAATGAACACTTTCGCGCAGCCATTTCTTGATATAGTCTTTGGATCAAAGTGTTATCTAGCAAAAAAAACTTTTACTTCCATGATGTTTGAAGCTTTAATCGTAATGAGCCGAGTAAATGATCAAATTTTCCTTCTTGGGTCTCAATTGAATTGATGGTAAAGTCTTTAGAGGCTTTGGATTTTGGTATTCCAATGGATTGTAAATCACTTTCATTATGTCTTGAAGGAAGTCTGCGTTGGAGTCGAATTGGTTGCTAGAGTTAAAAAACATCTAAAATACTTTTAGACATGATAAATGGAAATGCTTGCATGGTTTGGGCAAATCATTGAAGCCATCCATCAAAATATGTTCAAGTAACTTTTTCTTCTTTTCATCCAATATCTCTTTTGCAAAAGTGATTGAGCTTTCAATGTCTGCATGTGGATTTTCTTTCAAATTAAGCAAAACAAGGTTCATTTTCCCATCCTCTTGTTCCTTCTGCATTAATGCACAATATATAAATATATATAAGATTTCTAGAATATATGTTTAGGTCTTACCGGTGGGCATTAGCCCATATGGTATTCTCTTCCCTCCCGCAAAAGGGAGGTCGAGTGTTTGAGCTTTGATAGAGCAATATTGCATGGGGGTGTACGTGTGCATTTACTTGAACTTTCAAAATAAAAATGTTTAATCAATTAACCTGTTAACTTTGAATGTCATTCAACAAACGAGCCACAATTATGAGCAATTTCGTGATACTTTTATATTGTGCAGGCTTGAGTAGTTTGGGAGAAGACAAGCTCGAGCTCATAAAAAACAAAGCCGGAATAACTAGTTTGGGAGAAGACAAGCTCGAGCTCATAAAAAACAAAGCCGGAATAACTATAGTATGTGTGGCAATTGATTTCATGCCAGTTTCAAGGTATTCATCGATTGATGGAATATATCCACTCTTGCTCCATGTAGTCTCTGTCAGCCACGAAACAAATGTTTCGCACCACTTTCATACAAGAATTTCAAAAATTATATGAAGTTTTAGTTGTTAGCTCAAGCATTTGTGAAGTAATTAGTCGATATACACATAATTAAAAAAAAATAATAAATCTTACTATATATTGCAGATCATTTGTTATGTCACTTCCTTGTAGATGGAGATGTTTCGCTGCAATGTTCCTCACAAAATGGTCTAATGCATTAAATATAATCTTACTATGGCCACTTAAGCCTTTACCATCCCATCTGTTTTAATAAAAGAAAAAAATGTGAGATAAGGAGAGCTAGAAAAACGAAGAATTGTTTTAGAATGCAAATAAAAGAAAAAATATGTACCTTTGAACTGCATCCGTTAAGTGTTGTAACTCATTAAGAGAACCTTCCATATCATAAAAATCATCAGCAACTGTAATAAGTATTGCACTCTTAGCAACTAGCATTCGAACAGGAGAATTGTGAGGCAGAGAAGTACTGGCTGCAATGGCAAAGTAGCAATAAGTAGTTTTCTCCCGCCCAAATCCCATTTCACTAAGACCCCACTCCTTGGACCACCTATGTAGTCATAAGAAATTAATGATGAAATAGACAAGCCAAGTAGATTAATTACATGTTACTTACTATATATGCATAAATATAACTGTCATGTTTGTATATGTATAAATATAACTGTCATGTTAATTTGAATATATATATATATATATATATGCATGTAAATTTAGAGAAATATCAAGTGTACCTTTTAAGTTCCTCCAATTCATTATTCCTGTAGATTGATTGCTAAAACTCGTAGTTCTCCACGGCAAGTTGTATTAGCTTGTCATTTTGAAGACATGATAATCTAACATATTTTACACCATTTCAATATATATATATTATTCATTATAAAGGGAAAATATATACATACATATAATTCATAATAAGGAGAATGAAATTAATTTAAACAGTGGCTTGTACCTAGAGAAGGAGGCCTTTCCAATCCAAAGAGAGTTGACCTTATTCTCTTCAATCCACTTTCTGTGATCCCGATGCCTAAGTCGAGCAATCCATAGAAGACTCAACTCATGCTCGATCTATGCAATTTTATGGAGTCATATATATGTGTATCCATACATATATGACACACTTTGCATATATATAAATTTTTTTTGTTTACTACAAAGTACAAACCATATATTCTTTTTGCAAGAAATTTGAAATTAGTTTATGGAAGCATTTTATTGCTCAATATATAAGTTGAATAGAAAATTACCAATCTGTGAAAATTCGGTAACATGAGAATGTTATCGTTGTTGCACAAACATTCGGTACATATAAGGGATCGCGTTGTGCCCCATTAATACATGCTGTCTAAAATCAACTATATAAAACAATACAATTAGACCATGACATGACATGTTCGGATGTTCCACGTGCAATGTGCCCACCGCCAAAATTAATACTTCACGAATTTGATTATAAAGTTAGTTACGTGTATTTTTTTTTTTTGGCTTTGACTTTGGGAAAATTCTTGGAATCTCAAGAATGCATTATATGAGCCACATACATATTCTTTCGGGTATTTCATTTTGGTGTATGTAAATTATTTAATATTTATTCAAATAAAAAGCTAACTCATGAGATATATCTATTGTTGGTATGGGAGAGTCAAATGTTCATATATAATAAAAAAGACATGTAAGTATATATTTTAATTATTTTCAGAAGTATAGCAGCATTGACAGAAATTCGAGAGGTAAGTTCTTAAGGTCTCTTTTTCAAATCTTACTTCTAACTTAAATGATACGTGTGTTGTGGGACTGATATACGTACTCTAAAGGAAAAAACACAAACTAACTATTGGATGCCTTAAAATACATATGCAGCTAATAATATTGATACCAAACTGATTCAAATGTTGCAGAAACCGAGTCTCAGAGGAATGAACACTTTTGGGCAGCCACTTCCTGATTTAGTAGTCTTTGGAACAAAGTGTTGGCTAATGGTAAAAGTTGTACTTCCATGATGTTTGAAGTTCTGATCAAATCGAGCTGAGACGATTAATTTTTCATTCTTGAGTACGGACTGGATTGATGGAAGAGTCTTCAAAGGCTTTGAGTTTCGGTATTCCAAAGGAGTGTAAATGGCGTTCATTATGTCTTGAAGGAGGTCTATGTTGGAGTCGTATCGATTGCCAGAGTTGAAAAACATCTGAAATACCATTAGACATGATAAATGGAGATGCTTGCATGATTTGGGCAAATCGTTGAAGCCATCCATCAAAATATGTTCAAGAAACTCTTTCTTCTTTTCATCCAATATCTCCTTTACATTAGTGATTGAGCCTTCAATTCCTGCCTCTGGATTTTCTTTCAAGTGGAGCAAAACAATATTCATTTTCCCATCCTCTTGTTCCTTCTGCATTAAAGCACAATATATGAATATATATATATATATATATATATATATATATAGGATGGTATGTGAACTGTATACATATTCAAGAAAAGGGGTTTGTTAATTAATTAATTACCTGGTAGCTTTGAATGTCATTCAACAGACGAGCCATGATCATGAGCAATTTCGTGATAGTTTCATACTGTGCAGGCTTGAATACTTTGTGAGACAAGCTCGGGCTCAAAAAACATGAAGCCGGAAGAACCAAAGTGTGTGTGCCAATCGATTTCATGCCAATTTCAAGGTATTCATCTTTGGATGGTATATATCCGCTCTTGCTCCATCTAGCCTCTGTCAGCCACGTAGCAAACGTTTCGTGCCACTTTCATAGAAGAAACACACAATTTTCCAAAATTATTTCTAAGTTTTAGTTGATAGTTCAAACAGCTGTGAAGTAATTAGTTGAATTACACATAAGTAAGAAAAACTTACTATGTCTTGTAGATCATTTGTTATGTCACTTCCTTGTAGATGGAGGTGTTTCACTGCAATGTCCCTCACAAAATGGTCGAGGGCATTAAATATAATCTTACCATGGCCACTTAAGCCTTTACCATCCCATCTGTTAAAAAAAAAAAAAAAATTTGAATATCACGCATATTCATTATCGGATTCGGATAGGATCAAACTATATTCGGTAGGAAATCTAGTTGGTTCACAGGTCTACTTCCGAGTAATTCTAGCTAAATAGGATGCAAATAAAAGAATAAAGATATATATACCTTTGAACCGCCCCGGTTAAGCGTTGTAGCTCATTCATGGAGCCTTCCATATCATAAAAATCATCTGCAACTGTAATAAGTATTGCACTTTTGGCAACTAACATTCGAATTGGGGAATTGTGAGGTAGAGAAATGCTGGCTGCAATGGCGAAGTAGCAATACGTAGTTTTCTCCCTCCCAAATCCCATTTCACTAAGACCCCACTCTTTCGACCACCTATATACACACACACATATCAATTACGCAAAAGAACTGATGAAATAGAGAAAAGCCATTTATAGATGTATCTATATAACGGTCATGCTTTTATATATATACATTTAGAGAAATATCAAGTATACCTTTTAAGCTCCTCCAATTCATTCCCGTAGACTGATTGCCGGAACTCATAGTTCTCCACAGCAAGTCGCATTAGTTTGTCATTTTGAAGACATGATAACCTAACATATATATTTTGCAACTTTTCAATATTATTCTTTATAAAGGAATATCTATATATATATATATATATATATATATATATCTTTTTCATAATAATTAGGGAGAATGAGGTTAAATTTAAACAGTGGCTTGTACCTATAGGAGGAGGCCTTTCCAATCCAAAGAGAGTGGACCTTATTCTCTTCAATCCACTTTCTGTGATCTAGATGACTAAGTCGAGCAATCCATGGAAGAGCCAACTCATGCTCGATCTACACAAGATTATGGAGTCATATGATCAATATGATTGATGCATGAGTGTATCTATATTTTCTTGCTAAGTAAAAAATAGATATGCATACATATTTTCTTTTTGAAAGAAATTTGGAATTAATTAGTTTATCAAAGAATTATAAGCTAGGAATAGAAAATTACCAATCTTTGAAAATTTGTTAACATGACAATATTATCATTTATGTTTTTCAGTGTCAGGGATTTCTCAAGTAATTTCCTTGAAAATGACCTTGCCTCTTCTAGTTCATATTCTCCTGAGAACATAAGATCTGTGGCTCTATAAACATTATACATTGCACTTGTAAACACTTCAAAGTTTTCTTCTATATGAGATACAACATCTTCATGGAGTAGAAACCAACAAAAAGTCCCTGCACATTTTAAATTTCAAAATCAGTAATGACATAAAATTAAGGAGTATTTATATAATCAGCATGAGAGGTCTGAAATCAGTAATGACATACATGGGGTCACATTGTACCCTTGCATCCGCAGGAGCCTAAAAGCCAAAGCGTCCTTGTATATTTTTGCCGGTGCTAGTTCAACTTTTGTCGTCGGTGATTCTTGTGTCTCATACATACTGAAAGTTGGAGTTAAAAATTTCAAAGAGACTAACAAGGTTAGTACATAACAATAATCTGCATATATAGTACGGTAAGTTGCTGTTTTATAAAACTGAAAATTAAGTATTTTTTAAGTGCTGCATTATTAACTGTTTTACATCTTAATTGTAGATTGAGAACCTTTTTTTTTTTTTGGATACTTTTTTGGATTTTAATTGTAAATAATATTTACATTACCTGTACACCTCTGATAAAATGTTTTCAATCTCCTCATTGAAATGCTCGGACAACCCTAATCTTTGAATTTGGTTAACCATACAAAGCTTTATGAGCTCCTCATCCATGGGATACATTGATGGAACTGCACCAAAAACCAAGTTCAGAATTCTATATATTCCTACACAAATACAGAATTGGTTATATAAAATCATAGAATTAAGAAGCTTTTCATAACTTATCGAAAAAAGAAGAAGAAGATTTTCATAACCTCCATGACCGCATCTTTGAACAAGAGACACTAAGTAGTCCATGCACTTCTGATTTCCTGTAGCCATGTAGGCGCATGCCGTGGCAGAAGGTGATTGGAACAACGAGCCGTCTGATTCATTCAAGTGCGTCACTATATCTTCTTGATCAATATCATATGTTGATGGCAAGGCCTCCAAATATGACAACAGTGGAGGATAATTGTATTTATCTACAAGTTCTTCCCTGCAAAACAGCATGCATGTTTCTGATTATATATATTGGTGTTCAACAATAATTATCACTAAAATAAAAATTTTAATATATATATGTATCTCTGAATGTATATTAATTTGTAGGTAAGAATTTACATATCAAGAATCCGTTGCCTGTGGAAGAAAACTTCCAACACTTCTCCTTTGAGCTCGTCGGGGAAAACATTTTCTAGACCTTTTGCTTGAGAAAGTTCAACAATTCCCGGGAAAACAATAGAAAACCAACGAGGATACCCTTCTTGTTTTACTTTGATCAGAAGCATCTCCATGTTTGCATGAATAAATTCCAACCCTAAAATGTTGATAGAAATTAATAACATGCTTATATCATCTCGTTAAATGATTCTAAAAGAAAAAATAAAATAATGGTCAGTGTGTTTCTTTTGATGATTTGTGGTTTTTAGTTTGCGAGTGAGGATTTAAAAAAATAAAAATAAAAATAAAAATAGAAAAAGTCATCTTTTTAATTTCAAAACTTGAAAAACGAAAGTACTGAAAGTGAACCATGAAAATGACAAAAGAAGCGACCCAGCGAGGCCCGCGCAGCTAGAAGTAAACTTCGGATCACGACTCATAACTAAAAAAACGGTGCTCACATGGGATGACATTGAATTTTTATTTTTATTTTTTATGACAGTGATAATTGCAACTATACTATTCTTTACGTGTGAAAAGGTTAGTTGCAACCAGAGTATTCTTTTCTAGGTTCTAGTGGTGCTGCAGATATTTCTAACATTGTGGCATGGTATTTAAACACATTTGTTTTGCATTTCACCATCTAGTAAAAATCAGTATGTTTTAACACAACTTGATTGCATAAAAACTAAAAATATATAATGATAATAAAAAAATAGTTCAACACATTTAAACCGTATTTGTACATAGTAAGTGTGTTAAATAAAAATTATAGCACAATACAACATAAATTCGTTATAGTAGAGAATTCAAACACCTCTTTTACTAATAAAAAATTGTGAGTTGGAGTCTCATTAAATAAATGAGTGCAACCCCAAAGAATTAGCCTAATTGAAAAAGACTTAGGTCCTGATACCTCATGAAGCATAAGGTCTCAGACTGATTCCTCTTAGGTGAAACAATTCCTTGGAGGCCACGCTAGTGAACACGATTTCGTGGATTAGTTTGAATAAAGCCCTGGACACCTCAATTATCGAATATATTTTTTTTTGAGTGCGTGTGTGACTTGCCTAAGAGAGAAACAAAACTCTTTCTATATATATATAGATATATATGTACCTTTCTTTATGTTTTTATCCCCAACATTCCACGTTTTGAGCACAACCATGCAAGCAAGAGTTGCAAGAAGAGTATCAATGGTGTATTGATCCTCTCCCCAGAACCCTTCGTCTCTTTGGTTGTCGAGAACCCAATCCAAGCAACCCTTGAACACGGGACAATCCCGTTGTTCGGGGTCTGGAATCATGGCTAACCATGCAGTGTCATAAGCTGAAGGAGAAACAAATGAATAAACATCAATAGAATTAGTACTACTACTAGTAGAGAACATCTCTTCTTTGATCTCATTAACTAGGGTTTGAAGTGAGGTTGGCATAGAGGATTCCATGGAAACAAAAGCAACGTTTTATATATATAACACACAATTTCTTTATGTGTGGACTGGTGTAGCATTAAGAAGCAAACAAGCAAGCTATTTATAGAGAAATTTATGCATGCAAGTAATGGTTAGGAACCACAAATTTATGATTTCACGTGGGCCTAACGGTGTGGACAAATTTTGCAACTTCGCCATTTATTGATCGATGACGAATAAGATGACGCAATAATGTAACATCACCATGTTCCTAATTTATTGATGTCAGCATAATGTGATGCTACATGGAAAAAGTATATAGTATCTCCCATAAGTAATGATATAAAGATAACTTTCTCACGGGAAAAGTTATGATTTATTTATTTTTAATCGTTAAATTGAGAGGTTTTTTTGTATATATATATATATATATTTGTTTCAAGACATAATTGGCAGGAATTTGAAAAGTAATTATTTAAGATTTTATTTTTGAATTGCACTCTTGACTTGATAATAATAATAATAATTAATAATTGATATTTTTTTTAGATAAGTTAAATTTATTCAAAATAAATAAAAATTATCCAACTCTTTGCAGGGCATCAAGGAAGCTATTTATAGAGAAATAATGCATGCACGTAATAGTTAGGTGTAGGACCCACAAGTATGGTTTAACGTGGATCTAAATGGTGGACAAATAGGTTTAATCCTTTTCCGGTACAGCTACTTCGCATTTTATTGATGACGGATACGGAACTATGTGAGTACCACCAACGTGGTCATCCCCCAAATTTTGCAAAATAATGCTCGGTATATAGTTTCCTAAACATGTGCCCATTTCAAAATTTATTAAAAAATTAATTTGAGTCTTTTATAAAGTCTTAATTTTAGAAGTCAATATTTGGAGAATTAAAGGAATGTTAAAAATTTACAAATATAATTCATATATCAGTTATTTTTCTCATGCACTTGATGAATTATGAAATCCACTAATTAATTTATAAATATTCAAATTTAGATCTACTTTCCAAAATTCTAATGTAAAGAAAAAATTACATTATGATTTTTTAAAATTTGTTTTCATATTACTAATTTAACCCCATAAATAATCATTTCTGGGTCCATCAATCTGTGTCGAACCTTGTCTGGACGAGAAGTATTTGTTGGCACTTTAAGAAAATGTCTCTCATATGTGGAGATGCATTTTGAAAATAGTGAACGATAAATTATATACTGCATAGTTAACTATATATATCTGTGCAGTTGGCACATTCACAAGCCCTACTGATAATGGATTTGGGAAATGGAAATTATATCCCAAGCGAACATAGGTGGTGCTAAATATGTTATATTTAGAAAATTGATGCTTATTATGGGAAAAAAATATTGAATACTTCGAAGATACTTACTGTTACAAGGGAAACCTGTTCCACAATAGATTTAGATGGGATTAAGTGTGTATATATAAGTGGGTATGCATTACTATCCAATAGTTTAAGTTTTTGGATAAATGGGTAAGCGCCCACCTATTGCAGTTGGTATCAGAGTCAGACCCAATTCTTAATCCGATTTCACGTTAAGCGTCTGGCCTGGAGGGCGTCCGGGTGGTATCAGAGTCAGACCCAATTCTTAATCCGATTTCACGTTAAGCGTCTGGCCTGGAGGGCGTCCGGGTCTGGACTCCAGGTAGGCAGGGTGGTCTGACCGCAACGTGGGCGTTGCGCGAATTTAGGTGAGAAAAAATGTTACAAGTGAAACCTGCCCAATATCGGATTTGGATGAGGATTGAAGTGTATATAAATGGGTGCGTATGTAATACTATCCAACAGTTTAAGTTTATAAATAATTGTACAAACCTCTATCCCGTTACACCTGTTATGTAATACTCCCATTTAATATTTTTTTATTTATTATTTCTCGAATCAATGCATTAAGCCTTCGTTATCAGCCCCAAGGATCCAACATATTTTTTCGCAATTAATTAAAATTTTATTTGTTACTCGATTATGAAATTATATCTCCCTTTTAAACTTACCAAAAAAAAAAAGAAATAATAATAATAATAATAAGTTGTCCTATCCAATCCCACAAGTGGCCCACGTTTTAAGTCAATTTGGCATGCAACCATTTCACACAGGTTTGCCAGGCATGCAACACAGGTTTGTTGAGTTCATACATTCTACAAATTGCTTGTCTTCGTGGATCAACAAAGAATTAATTGACTTGTACTTTGTATATGATTCTGATAATCATTTAGTTGCCTTACTTGAATTTAACACTAATATTGAAGAAAGAATTATTTATCAATAATATTGAAGGTAAGTTTTTTATTTTTTATTTTTTGAAAAGTATATTAAAGTTAAGTCTAAGTTGTTCCATTGTGATATAAAGGTGTTGAGTTTAAAATTAAAAATAACTTTTCAAAAGTAAGACTGTACATCTCAACCCATCCAAAATCTCACAATTCAATCTCCCAATAAATTTGAAATTTTCTTCACGTCAAATTAATGTCCCTTTTATATATCCCCTATTATTAAAACGTGCCTTAGGTTGTCCAGTAGTGTATCATATATAATTGGAGGAAAAACAATTAAATTCTAATAGAATTTTCAACAATATATTAATCTAGCTAGTTCTCAACCTCAAAAATAATCCAAGAGATTTGCAACACAATTAGATAGATTTTTTTGTCTATTAAAGACCTCACAAATGCCCTCACCTGACAATGGTTGATGGAGGACCCCACGTAGCAGCCATTTCCCTAAGCCATTTCACATTTCTGGCCCATGCTTAGTGTTGCAAGGGAGTTTATTTTACGTCGATTTTGGATGGGAAAATGAATGGATATTAATGAGTAAATATGCAGTACTATCTAATATTTTAAGTTTTTGAATAAATAAACAAGTCTATCTATTTCAGTTGGTATTAGAGCTAAACTGTCCTTGATCTGGTGTCAAGCTAAGCACTAACCCGGAAGGCGCCAAGAATGAAAAGCAGGATGGCTCAAGCCGCAACGAAAGCGTTGTGAATTCAGATAAAAAAAATGTTACAAAAAGAAACTTATCATATATCGAATTTAAATGAAAAAATAAATATATATAAATAAATAAATATATAATATTATTCAATAACTTAAATTTTTAAGTAAAAAAACAAACTGGTACCAGTTTTACTTATCTTCAGTATCTCTTGTTTCTGAATGTACAAAAAATTTACTTGAATGATTGAAAACTAAAATTCGTCCCTCTGTGGGCCACGACATTGGAAAGTGTCTACTTTGATTGAGTCCTGGGTCGGTGGCAATGGCCCCCCAGCCGTGTTTTGTAAGGTACATGCCATATTTTTAAGTTTGTGAAGTATCAGATTTGTGAAATTTTTATTTATTTAATTTTTTAAAAAACTTTTTAATACAATTTATAATTCATCGTCAGACACGTGCATTCATCCGTTCACATACAGAACACCACCCCTTCCATATTCATCAAACAATAATCAGAAAATGAGTAGCTCGGCTCCAAATGCACAGAATGGTGGTGAAAGTGTTGTCATTTGGGCTATATAATCAGATTTGTAATTTTTCTTTTTCTTCTTTCTTTTCTTTTTTTTTTCCCTTAAATTTACACACCCATTAATTTGTTCTTATGAGAAATTATTGCATCTCTCACTTTATTACATTTATTCTAAAAGCTTAAATTGAGAGAGGGTGTCACATTAATTTTTAAATCTTCCAACAAGCTATCTCATGTATGTTCTTATTTTTTTTTTAATTCAACACTTATTTCAATTTTAACTATCCAAGTGACGATAAAGTTTGAATCTAAGTTACATAAAGTAAGAGCGAAAGCGAGAGTGAATTTGAAAGTGGGAGCGTGAGAGCGACAGAATTAAATTATAAACACTAAAAATTTGAACGAAAGCACGTGCGGAACGTAAAAACGACACCTATTTAAAAAAATTACAGAACATGAAAGTGATACCTATTAAAAAAAAAAAAAAAAAAAAAATGATGTGACTTAAGTTTGAACTCCAACAACGGTTATTTGAAATTTATAAAATATCCCATGCACCGACCGCATGACAGAAAACCTTGGTCAAATAAAAGATGCTTTGTAGTGTTGCAACATAAATGGCGGCTTGTTACGTTTTCACCATCATAGATGAGTAGTGAGGGAGCGCTGTACTATAAAGCCATTCCTGTGTACGTCAATGGAATTGTCCTTGTAATCAATTAATTAACTAAGACTGAATGGTGTACGATTAGCTGTATCGGATTGAATATATGGAATGTGTTGAATTGCATTGATTCTTCTTCGTGACTAGATTCACGAACTTGTAGTACACGCACTGTTTGTACAATGTGAACTCAACCAGCCGACTTTTATAATCCCCCACTTAGGGTTTTGTTTTTTTAAATTATTGAATTAATATATACACAAAAAAGGTGTTCTCATGCTTACATTAGCATTACGTCACTTTTACTATTGCAATATTACTTTCAAATTAACAATTATTGCATTTAGATTTAAGAAATTGAATTAATATATACACAAACATGGTGCGACAACAATAGAGAAGGGGTAAAATTATAAAATATCGTTGTACTATATATTAAAAATATGCATATAATACCCAACACAATCAAATAATTAATTTTGAAAACTAACAAAATTTATCATGTTATCCCCTAAAATTGAAGAAGACAAGTAAGAAAATATTTGTCTCTCCTGTTTTAACCAAATCAAGAATCATGTACTAGTTTAAAATTCAAAGAGCTACAATAATCTGATAGAGATTGTCAACCAGGTCAACTCATTTATAAATGCGGATTGGTCATATATTCCTGAATTTTTCTAAGAAATTCAATTAATTAATTTAGGCCGTATATATATATATATATATATATCCCAATCAAAGCTAGCTGTATTTCCACTGGAGTTTCCAGATTTTGAGTAATGTTAGTCATGTAATGACTCGTATATTCCAAATATTGATAATAGTTATTAACTTAATTCCACATAATGAAAATTCAAGTT